TCTCTCTTATACACATATATATGTGTATAAGAGAGAGTATATATATATATATATATATATATATATATATATATATATATATATAATATGGGGCTGCGAAGGAATCACCAAATAATATTTAACGTCGCAAATATATATTGGTCGATAAGGGACTCCTACCCGTCCGCTCTCTCAGCAGTCACGGAGTTAATTTAAAAAAAAAAATGATCTGATATCTAATAGGAGCTTTTTGAGTTTAAAGAACCACTGAACTGTCATTAAAACTAAGAAGAAAATCATATTATTGTCAAGCTCTCTTTTGTTTAGCGTGAAAGTAATTAGTATAATCTCAGGCTCACATTAATCAGTTGGAAAATACACTCCCAGCCCTAGTCATACTGTGCTTATGATTGGCCTATCAGGTACAGTCAGATAAAAGTTGAACCTCCTCGTAATTTTCTTTTTTAATAGCCATTAAATAAAATATCGTAGCGATATTGTGATACCATCTTAATAGCCTTAAATTGTGTGGGAACTTAAACGGATATGCTAAATATTAAAGTGAATTCAATTTGAATCCCAAATGTATAAAACCTAATACTTTTACGCCCACGGGTTTTAACCGGTTCGCACATGCTTATTATTGCATATAATAGTAAATATATTTTTATTATGACCCGGAAAATTGTGTCACAAGGACCAATGTAAAGGTTCACAAAGTAAGTGGTACCAACCCCAGGCCATTTTAAGTAGCCTAAGGCTAAGTGTTTGGGTTTATTATTATTTTTTTTGGGGGGGGGGGGGTGTCCACAAAAATTACCGTGGGGAGCGTGGAAGAATTCCAGGATTTATACAAAATAAATTACATTTGATAAAATATATCCATATGTAGGTATCTTATATATAGTTTTAGATTTAAGTTTCGTTCGCTGTTTTAATGCGAATGGTAAATACGCTTGTTATCTTATTAACGTAAATGCCGTAATGGCCGTAATTGATAACAGGAAAGAAATGAATATTTTGCTTGGGTATGATCTTCACAAATTAAAATATTTAATTTTAAGATATTGATTTATATAAAGATGCTTCAGTTTAAATTAGTAAATTAATATATTTTTTGACAATTTAATTTTAATCCGACTACAAGGGAGGTCAAAGGTCAATGAGCTGGTTTGCACTGGCCCAATAAAATGGCAAAGATGGCTGTAGCTGCGTGACCTCCCTTAGGCTTGGCTGCCGATTCGTGGTCTAGTAGGGCTGCTGAATGGAAGTTTATGAGCAGCTAAACATGAGAGAAGTGAAAGATAATGAGAAGATTTACTTTCAACGTGTTTTTAGTAAGTGGGACTACGAAGTTTCTCTCAGTTAAGTCAGCGTCTTAAAAGTATGCCCAAATATGACGGTGTTTATATGATCGTCTGGGTATGGGCGTTCTTTAAAAAAAAAAAAACTTGCCTGCGATTAGTGCACGTAGACTGTTGAGTGCTGTGTTGATACTATGTCATGTCAGATGCGAGTTGGGTCTCAGCTTGAGTTTTTGTGTGTGTTTTTTTTTTTCTATGGAAACTGCTCATTGCCACGTAGTACCTGGGATGGAGGGAAAATAATCATTGTGTTAGGCTTAGGCCTTACTTAAATTGATTTGCTGTTTAGCACATCAGTACAGTATTAATAACTGCCATGGCATGAGCAATACTGAAATTCAATAAAATATAATAAATAGAATTTTAAAATAGGTTACTCAGGTTACTCATAATAATATAATAATAGGCTAGAATTAGAATTTAGCAATACTGTACAGTTCAGACAGTCTGAATAGTCCCCCCCCCCTCCCCAGCCAAATATTGAGTCATAGACATAGATGACATAGTCATTGTAGGCCCATCATACTCATAGTCATAGGCCATGGCCATAAATAAAATGATCAGGTTATGGAATATAGGCATAGGATGAAAAATGGATAGTTCACATTTGAGCCAAGGCCCCCAAGGCCTAAAAGGAAAGAAGTATTAGGCCCCCAAGGCTTAAAAAGAAAGAAGTATTTAGACCCTACAAGTAACTAGGGTTACCAACCCTTAGCAGGATCCTTGGGCCTACTTTCAAGCCACCAATGTTTTGTAAAAATAAAATTAAAGTTAAACTACATAAATTTTTTTTATGTAAATTGTTTTAAAGATAAACTTGTATTAGCGAGTGCTCACTACACATTACATTGACTGATTTTTACATGTAATATTAGAATATGGGAGAATAGTTCTTAATAAGCGACAATTGAGGTCCATTAATTTATAGCTGTGCGTGTGTTTGACAGCATGAAATGCCAATATGTCTTCAGCTGCTGAAACAGATTCATCACTTTTTAAACCCGGTGTTAAGAAAAATTGGTAACTTTAGTAGATGAAGTTTTTTCTGAGAACACCCTTAACATGTTTTGGTGTTTCGATGTGCACCTTGCCTTTAAATCCAGTGCACCCTTATTGAGAACAGAAATGTAAGTTCTGCTGTTGCATGTCGAACATTCAGTTTCCCAGTCATATCGACCTCCACGAAAACATGGGTATTGTGTTTTCAGTGACTCTGACTCTGTAAATAAACTCCTACATTTCAGCATCTACTATTTTAGCCCTACCAGCCTACCATCTAGTATTGTAGACTGTAGTTCTATTGAAATTCGTGCATTTATCAGCAGTGCTCAGACTAAACTGAACTAGGGCCCATTCACAATGTTGATTACCGGTATATTTTTATGTTTCAAATCTGAAATCATGCATGCTGTTTAAAAAGTCAACCATAGGCCTAGCCAGCAAATTTATTATTTTTAAAGCCAAAGGGTTATTGGACTATCATAGTCTTAGGCAGGTTTAGAAAAAACTAAATTTAATTTAGTTTTCTCTGAATCTGCCATATATTATTCTTGCACATAATAATGTGATTAACTAAGAAAACCTTTGTTTATGCTTTTTTTAACTCCCCAACTATTCACAGCACAAACTTGAATTGAAATAAGAATTTATTTCAACTGCTTATTTTTTAAAAATCAACTAATTAGCTTTTGGGGATCAGAAAATGCCACCCAGATGTTAGAATAGTTGGATGTAAAATCTATTTTAATTTAATCAAATCTTGTATGGTTTGATATGGTAATATTATTTTTTTGTACCAAAATATATTTGCAAGCTTACTTATTTATTTATTCACTCTTTGATTGAATTTCTTTTTCTGTGGTGTCCTTAGAGGCCTTAATGTTTTCTGAATGAGAAATCATTATCTTTCTGAACCATAATTTTGTTACTGTATGTCTTAACTCTCTAAAGACTGTAGATTTTTCCAGTTTTTAATGACCTTGATTCTTCACTGTGTCTCATGGCTGTAATTTTGTAGCTACCTACAAGTATTATATATCATTTTAAAGATAATTGGATGCTCTTTAATTGATATTTGGTGTTTGTTCAAAATATCCTTGCTAAATTTGATTTTTTATTATTTTTGATCAAAACAAAATTTTTTTTTAAGTCGACAAAAACAAAACATCACATTTTTACAAAGAAAGAAAAAAAAAAGTGTTTCCAAATATATCAATAAAATTGATATTTTATTAGAAACTCTTCAATACTAAAAACATATTCCAATTTCGAAAGAATAGACCCATAAATAAAAAAGTTGTGACTTTTTGTAGGCAACATATCATTCAAGGAAATATTGCTAGAAAAAGTCAAAATTATTTTCAAAAAATAATAATTTTATTTTCAAAGGAAAACATATACTGCATCATATTATCCCTTAGAGAATTATTAGTAAGTATTATTTTAGAAGAAAAGTTTTTTTTAAAAAAGTAAATTTTAATAAATAAAAAATTTTTTATGCATCCCAGAGATACCGATCAAATGATGTAATCCTTCGCCAAGACCATGCATTTAAAATTCTTGAAAACAATTTCTTTATTGATTAAAACATACAAATGTATCAAAAAGTAAGCCTATGACATATGCTCTGATAATTTTACCCTGTTTTGGTAACACACAGTTACATTTTTGTTTTTGTCATGTCACGGCGCACGATGTAAAGATTTCGGGCTTTACAGTAATGGGTTCATCATCAAAGATGTCATTTGTTCCCTAAATTTTTCATTAATTGCTACACTTTCTTGATGCTGATACAGTTCATTGTATTTTGCATGGAGATACATAAGGGTCTCCCAATTTTGCCCAGCATTTTCCTTTATTTTCAGTATCAGAAAATTTTAGGAAACTCAATATAGCCTTGAATATGTCCTTAGTACTAATGGCCTTGCTCATTGTCCATCATAAAAGGATTTCCTGGACATTTCTTGCAAAATTAAGAGCTTGATAAATCCTGGATTCATAATAAGTCCACTTAGTAGCTAAAACTCCCATTCAATGATGTTATAATGGTACCAATTTTTGAAAACACAAAATTTCTGCGGCCATTGTCCTGCGCACACTGCTTACTAATAACCAACCAAATCTGTCGTAAAGTAGAAATTGAAAATGTCTATTTGCTTTTGAAATCTCCTTATATCCTCTCTTTTTTTAACATCAGGAAGCAATAATGCTTTGTACCTCTGGTCTAAATGCAGCAAAGAGTCCCACAGTCTTTTGTCATCATAACCCATTGTACTGACTATGTTTGACATCTGCCCTTCATAGATGCTGTCAAAATATAAAAAACAAAAAAAATATTAGTTTAGCTACAATTTAAATAAAAAGATTTCTAAATATTCAACAATCTGCCTAAATTACTTTTACTTCAACTTTTCATTGAAAAGGGAACACAGCTGATTGTTACATAATAGCCTTGGCCTTGTATGGCATTGTTTACATTTCGCTAACTGAAATGTAATAATATTCAAATAATTTTATAACTACAAATTAGTTTCAATTAAAACAAATAAATAATTTAATCTATTTCAGAATTTTATACTACTGGAACTTGAATGAAACTAATGTTAGGGCTAATAATAGTGCTAAGAAAGTATCACAGTATGCGTGAGTTGAGTATGAATGAAAAAAAGTAAACAAACCTTGTTACTATTATTATGATGATAATTTACAGAATTATCGATATCAGACACATCTGAAGTGCTATCTTCATCAAAAATATTCCTCTAAATAAGAATATTTGTCAATTTCAAGCTTATAATCAGACTCAGACTCCATAGCAATTTTTAATGAGTAAATGTCGAAAAGGAAAATTTATGAATGGACAAGTTGCTACCAGATTTCTTCAAGAACTAGTAGAATAAAGGATTTTTCTTTTGCCAAATTGAAATTTAACATTCCAAATTAGTAAATCTTTATTTTCGCCTTTTAATATTATTTTTATATATATATTAGGGGTTGTTTTTTTGACCCGCCATATATGACAGATTTTTCAATCTCTCGTCTTTTGAGAGTTAAACTGCACTTCTGTGACTTACATGATACAACTGTCACATGGGTTTTTCTATCAACCTACCACAGGTTTATAATACTTCAATTTTACTCAAGGTCTAAAAATAATTGGATATTTTTATTTATGTGTGAATTAAAACATTAGAATAAGATAAAATGAGATAAGATTGTTTCTTGATCCAAATAAATGGAAATGTTTTTTGATAAAATTGTATTATATTCACTTTCAGCCCATAAATAAATACATATTTGAATCAAGACAACATTTTACAAGTAAAATAGTTTAAACACAACACATCTAAAGTATTTCTCTAGTGTAGAAAATCAGCCATCAATGAACTCCTTTGGCGAAAATAATGACTTAATAATTGATCATTTTAGATTTGGTAACCACTGGGGGAGCATGCTGTTGAATTCATACAGACTGGGGTTATAACTTTCGGTCCTAACTTTAAGAGAGAATTCACACTAATGTGGCTTGGATGTATTGTATACATTTTTTTTTTTTAGCTTTACAACTGCATTTTTTTTCAATAGTTCTTCAAGTGAAGGATGTTTAGTTTGTGTGATATTACTAGCTTTCTTGATTAGTCTGTTTAATCAGTGTTTTATGTCAGACAATCAATTACCAGACCAGCAGGTAATAATGACGTTCAGTAGGCTTCCAATTGTTGCACTGTAGAATAACTTGTAGGTTTACGCCAAAATTGTACAACAGCACTTGTATAGTTGTGAAGTAATTGTAAAGAAACGTTTAATATTTATTGATACTTAAAGAGATTAATAATTTAATTTTAGAACTTTGTGAGATCTACGTAAAGAAATCTGTAATGTTGTATTTGAGAAATCTTGATGAAAAGTTAATGAATCACTGTAACATCATGCTTTGTTTCACCAGGCACGTCCTGCTGTTGTGCTAGCTGCAATTCTTACTCTATGCATGTGTTCAGTGCTGGTGAGCATGTACTACATTCACAACATTGCCCTAGCCACACCTTTGGATGTTATGAGGAGTGCCAACAGGGACCTAAGTCCACCAAATTCAAGAATTATTGGAGATGGAGATGATGAAACTAGTTTGTTGGTAACACATATTTCTCATTCACAAGAGCAGTTACATAATTTGTCTAAGGTGAATACAAAAAATTTCAGCATGGCAAAAGTACTTTATTTAATATCCCAAAGTTTTACCTTTCAAATCTTTTTTACAAAGAAAAAAGTAAAATAGTTCTTCTTAATGTACAAAAATATTTTTTTATTTGTTTGCTTTACTTTATTGTATTGTTTTTGAAGTTTTAAAATTTTAATTCACAGAAATCGGATGAAAATGCTCCACCTATTCTCAATGATATTGATATTGCCCTTCACATTGAGAAGAAAGAGTCTAAAAAAACTCATAACCCAGACTCTCAGCCTCACAAAAAGTTTAGAAAAGAAGATATGTGGCCTAGCCATGAGAAGGCTCAGAAACGCCGGAAAGCTTTTGTGCCTCTGTCTATGCAGATCTATAACAATCCACAAAGAACCAGGGAGAACTGGAATGGAGAGCGCTACATTGTATATTTGTGCCACAGTAACTTAACCTGTGCTGGATGGGGCGACAGACAGCATGGTATTTTATCCGCATATCTCCTTTCTTTGGTAACAAACCGAACCTTCAAAGTGGATATGCAAAGCCCATGCCCACTGTCAAAGCTGTACCATCCTCGAATAGTCAACTGGAAAATCAACCAGACAGAACTTGAGGGTCTGTCCAGCACACATTTGTATGCCTTAAATGATCGGAGATTTCGTGAGTCAATGAAAGAAATAGACTTTGATGAGAAGTATCCCGAGGATGTGGTTTATCTGACCACCAATTATGACTATTTTTACAACTTAAAGTCTAACCCTAGATACAAGGCTATATTTCACCAAAAGGTAAGGGGTAGACCAAGGCCGGTGCTGTTTGCAGATTTGTGGCAAAGCATTTTTAAAATGAATAAAAGAGTTGTACGGAAGTACACACCAGCACTAAAAAGGGCAAGGCCAACCGATCACCATAAACTGGCTTGTGCCCATATTAGATTTGGTAGGAATCCCACTATACCAACTGATGGGGACATCAGAAACACTCTAACTACAATCAAGCCTTTGTGGTCTTTTCTTGAGAAACATTCAGATCCTCAAAAGTACAGAATTTTTGTCGCCAGTGACTGGCAGGGCTTTCGGGATAAAGTGAAAAGCCTCTATAGAAATATCACCATCGACGTAGATGGGGACATCATCCACATTGATAAATTAAAGGACCAGCGTAGGAGAGAGAATGCCACCAATGCTGTTCCATTGGATCCATGTTCTGGCTTTGAGAAAGTGATTGCAGATCAGTATGTCCTAAGCAAGTGTGATATTCTCCTGTTAACCTATAGTGTTTTTGGCAAAGCTGCTGCTTATTTAAGGAGGTCTAACAGTGATTTATACCTGATGGAAAATGGCACCATTAAAACTCTGATATTGTTTGATGAGAAAAATCATTGATAGAGACCGAGTTTGCTCATACAAGTGTGGATAATGCAGAGGGAAATGCCGAAGATGTCTTTCACATTAAACCAATTAGTTCTTTACTTTCATAATCATGCATTTCACTTTTTTATCATACTTAACATGAGACCAACAAGAGATATAGGTGAGACTATAATTTAAATATAAATCGTTTGATTTTCTAATTAAGTCTAACTAAGATCTTGGCAAAGTTTACCATAATTGAAAATGGTAGAAGAATCGTTTCTATTCGCAATGATTGATTAACAACATACAGCTAAATTTTTTTACGAGACAGAGTCGAAAATAAAAAATTCAACGTAATTGCTGTGGAATGCAGAGAAAGGCTACAATAGTTATGCCACAAAAATCAGCTCACACACTTAAACATTTTTACAAACAAATGTTATAAATTATATATATGATAAGGCATTAATATCAATCTCATTTTCTTAATGTTGATTCTTCATGGTTTTTGAAAGATCTAGGATTAATCTAAGAATTTGTCAGAGTTTGTAAAGCTCATGAAAAGGTAGGAACTGGGAAAAGACAGGTTTTTTGTTTTTTTGGGGTGCTCCTTTCAAAAGCTTTTGCTTCTACTTCTTGTGTTTTTGGTCCAAGAGCTGGAGCATTATTAATTCAAGTTGAGGTAGTTTTCCAATTTTAACCATTGAAAATATGAATTAAATTTAATTTCTTACATTAGGGCTGGCATTCTAATGTAGATTGTTGAATTGGCCTCATCTGGTAAATTATACAGTAGGATGAGACTTTATCAGTGGCAAATGTTAATCTAGATACTCTCCAAATAACTTTGTTTTAGGAACTGTTTTAGTTTAACTTTTTTCAATATATTTATAAAGTTAAAGGGGCTTTAACAAATGATGGGCAGGCTAATGCTAGTATGTCAGGGTTTGATTTATCACCTCTGTGTTTACCCATACCATCACTTTTATGATTTAAAAAAAGTTGTATTTCAATATATAATAATCCAGCATTAAATTCATAATTATTTACTTTTACAAGACAAGATCAATGACAATACTGGCATGTTAAATAACTCTTTGCAAACATGCTTTCAACATTTAAAAAAAGAAATATGCATACATTCTTTATTTGGCCCCCAATTTGACTCAAATTTTCTGTTCATAATCATTTAGTCTGAATATCGATAATGAAATGTTTTTTATCTGAATATCTTTAGAGAAACATTTAAAAGGTTTGCTGGACTTGAATTGTATGCTCATGATACTGTTAATACAATGACTGTGATTGACTATTGAGCACAGCTGTTCAAGCTTGAACACTTCCATTCTGTGTTAGTTTTCTAACTTTAAATGGGCTGGAAAGACTTCTGTACATTTGCATTTAATTCTTTTTGCCTGTTTTTTGTTTGGTAAAATTGTGAAGTCTATGTGAAATTAACTTCAAATTAATGTACATTTTTGAAACTGTCCCATTACTTTATGACTATGTTTTACACCTTATAACTTATTTGAAGTCAGATATGTTCTGCAAATGTATGCTGCACAAGTGTCATGCTAAGCTGCATGTAACATCCATTGTTTATTAAATAAATATGTTTTTGAAGTGTCATTTTATTTAATGTTGCTGTCTTACAAAAGTTTCATTCTTTTATATTGTCATACCTTTAAAAGAAAAATTCATTTAAATTTCAAAGTGTTTTCTGTTTATATGAAACTAATTTTTTTTTTTTTAAAGTTTAGGCTTTAATTTTTTGTGTTTTTTGTCACTCACTCCTTGTATAAATTCTAACACCAGAATCATGCTCACTCAACTGAGTGAACATAGTTGTAAAATCTGAACATTTAAGAAATGTTTCTTTAAATACTCATGAGTGTGCAAGAATCAGCCATCTAGTCAGTGTACCGTAACGTAAGGAATTATGGTAGAAGAAATATGCCAGTGAAAATATTTATAAAATATCTTAACGCATCTTAAAGGTTTTTTTCCAGAGTATTCAAACTTTAAACATACTAATCTTCCTTATCTCATGTCATATTAAGCAGTCTTTTAATTTTAAAGATTAATGGATGTTTTCAGTTTAAAATTACTTTTTAAAAAATATGCATACGTAAGTGATAAGAGTTGCTTGCTTTAATTAATGAAAAACAATAATTGCTTTTCTTAATTGCTCAGTTTTTTTAACTATTAAAATATAAAGATTTTGCTGTTCTATATTATGTATGAGTATAACTTATCATTGAAAGAAATATACGAGGGTAGATTCTGGTCATTTGTAATCAGAAAGGATTTGGATCTAGTAAAGATATTATGAGGGAAATATTGCTGAAAAACGTGGATGCCATAGAAAGAGTGCCTTTCCACTTGCAAAGTTTGGTAATGACAACCCAAATAGATCTGCGATAAAGGAGTTGTAATTAACTCTTTTTTTAAAGTTTTGTCTTGTTATAATATTATTAATATGGGAGTAATTAACATCACAACACTTGTCATGAGCCATCTTAAGCATTTAGTTTTGTTTTTAATTTCAGTTTTGAAAGAAGAAGAAAAGGGTACTCGATAGTTCTAGGATAAAACTCTTCTACATATTATTATTAAGTTAATTGGCGTTTTGAAATAACCAGGGACAGAATTCTGAAAACTAAAGAAATTAATATAAACTTTATTGTTGGTTTGCAATCTGAACGAAAGCATCAGCAAATATTTTGGCATTGTAAACAGGTACACAGCACATGTTAGAATTTCCTTCTCTGTACTATTTTGTGAGTCACTGTCTTAGAACTTATTTGGGTTTAGAACAAAAGTAAAACATGTTCTATCCAGACTATACAACTTAAATATCAAATCAAGGGTTGTTCATTGTTCATATAATATTTTCTAACTGCATCCTAAAGTCAAACATAATGTGTTCAGTTCAATTGTTAAAGAAGGAATGTAAACGATTTTGAGAAGAAATTGGTTAAATTTGAAGTATTGGAATGAATTCTTAATCTTGATAAAATATAATTCAAAACATGAAAGTGGCTTATTTCACATTTCATTTCCAAAAGTGGAATTTATGAAAATAACATAAGAAAATAAAAAGGGAGTGGGCTGTGTTTGTTTTTAAAATGTGTATTAAAAAAAAAGACATTGATTTCTGCAATAAACTGTACCGTTCATATTTATTTTGTTCATTTAAACTGCTTTGCCATTGGTTATGTGATTAAAAAAAAAATTTGTATGATATATTTTTCAAATAGGCAGTTTTTTAATTAATGCTTTAAATTTTTTTGCTATTTATTTTTCTTTTCTATTTGTAAATAGCAATTATTGATGCGGTGGATGCAAATTTGTGTTATAAATAATTGGTATACCAAAATGTGTACACTGCGGCATGCAGTCTTCTATATGCGCTGGCTATTTTAGAACCATGTACAAATGTATCTACTTTATGCTTAAAATGACATACACTTTCAGTAGTTTTCATATTGCCCATAAAGTATTTTGTGGTAAAGATAAGTCGCCATCGCTTTAATTATTGGTACTTTTTAAAAATAGAAATGTTTTCATCTCTTTTGATGTTAGAGGTTTTATTTATGCTGGGCTATGGGAACAGCAAAAGTAACATTTAGAGTTTATGTCAGTGTCTTTTATAAGATATTTACATGTAATTTAGTTTTACACGCATGCTGATATCTTATTTTTAAAACGACAAAATACTTTATGATAACATGATAATCAATTAAAAAAGAAATCTGTTTCATAGTCCTAGTTAAAGCTTTTAAGAATCATTTTTCGTAGATGTTTGATATACTCAAAATAAAATAAGATTCCAGTTTGGGTATTTATTCAAGTTCTACTTGCTACCCTTCACTTTGATTCCAAGAAGTATGTGGTTTTTAATAAAATGTCCTTCAAACTAATGCTTTTATATTTAACTTAACATAAAAATGAAGTATTCACTATTATGATTGAGTATTTACTGTTTAACGGCTAATTTTTTCAAGCATCTGATTTGGGTGTGTTATTTTTAACAAAAAAACATTTTACAATTAATCAATGATATGAGCTTTCAGAATTTCAAAGAATTTTCAAAATTTTAATTTTTTGGGATATCACCTTTGGATTTCATTTGTAAGTGTAATGCTAGACCTAGTTATTGATGCTGATTTATTATTTTGAGAAAACTTTTTGCTTCAGTAAAGTTGTTATGTAACTTATAATTAAGATTTTATGTATTATAAGACTAGAAATTGTGATTGCATTTCTTAAGCTTTAAAAACAGAGTCATTTAATGTTTGTAACTACACTTCCCCCCCCCCCCTTTTTCTTTTTTCTTCTCCTCTTCCCCTTTTTTTTTCTCCATTTGGGTTTGAAATTAATTTTTAGTTGTTTTTCCCAG